GTAGTCTGTGTCGCCTGTTGGGTTTAGAGGTAAGCTCCCGACCCTTGCTAAAGGAGGTGGTAGCTTGAGTACCACTAGCGCAGGACGGTCCCGCGCAAGTGTCAGCCACCTCTCCTGTAGTTTTCTTTGGGGGGTTTGACCCCTTGGAACTTTCATTGTTCCTGTTCCCAGTGTCGCTAGGGGGTTTCCCCACAGCTTCTCCGGTGGTGTTGGTGTTTTTATTTTTATTACTGCTCATAGTGTTCCCACGAGTCGCTAGGGATAGTCAGTCCACTTGGTCCAGGCGGTTAAGCCAAGACCCCCCCACACCCTCTACCCGCGAGACATGACCACAGACAGTAGAAGGTGCCTGGTTTAAATGTCTTGGTGCAATTCCCTGGCCACTACAGCCAGAGACAAGACAATGAGTGAGATGCTTCTTGGACCGAGCCAAAGTGCTAGAGGAGATTTTGCCAGCACCTGACAAGGAGCTTCCCCACCAACGACAAGGTCTTGCATCTCCTAGGGGAAGGTCAAGAACGCTTACTTCGGGACCAGAATTTACTAGATGTGTTGACTAGGTCCAAAAGCAAATGCATGGTCTTAATATAAAAATTTCGAAAAATGTTAGTGTCTTTTTTAAAAATGAATATTTCCAAAAAAATTACAGCTAATGAGATGAACCTTTTGCGATTGTCCATTGAGAAAGGATGTATCTAGATGATAAAATGATTTTTAAATTGCTTTCTGTTTTAACATATTCCACAGGGTGTTTCAAACTTTCACCAAAATATCAACATTTTGTTTTCTCTCGTACAATTAACAAATGGGGAGTTTCATTTTTAGTTTAGAAAAAGATACTAAAGAGTCAAATAATTTGGCTACACACTGCTTAAAAAATCATCAAAATCGGTCTATTAAAACAAAATATATTAACCTTTAAAATAAGTAAATCGCAGTTTTAAGGTGCCCATTTTTCGTGGTGGTGAATGTATTTCAGAAACTATACATTTTAGTCATATACTTTTCTAATGAAACAAACATTTATTTTTTTACTACAATTCAAAAATCAATTAATATATAAGGTGTTCCGTTACAAAAAACATAACTTTAATGTGTAACTTTTTTTGGGGACACCCTGTAGAACTCTACATAATTTTAGAAAATGCTTTAAATTGACTTACATGAGTTTACAAAATTTCACTTCAATACAAACTTTTGTTCTCCTTGCAAAAACTGCATCGTATATGTCGCGCCACCCTGTATAATTCGATTTCAATCAAAATTTCAATGATTAGAATATAAGCAGAATAGGTATAGCTTATGCATTAGATTTATTTATTTAAATAAATTGACTTAGAAAAAGAATTAAAAAATCAAAAAATTAAGAAGGAAATAATAAGAATTTACTAAAATAAAAAATTAAAAGCAACGAAAAAAAATGGGTAAACATTTTAGTATTTTATCTATAAAACACAATACAGAAGGTTTGACATTAATACATTCGCAGTAATTGAATTCCGAGTCTCTGGGCACTCCACTAATAGGAAGGAACACGTTTTGATTTTTAGGACTTGGAAAATTCAACCATATTTTCATGTTTTTATTAATTTTCTCTAAAACGGTATGGAAATTTGGAAAAGTATAAACGGGATTATAGGTGCCCGGTGGCGTAGAGGTACAGGCTCTCGTCTACCAATCTCAAGATAGTGGGTTCGAATCCCACACCCGGCATTTCATCAGCCGACTATTTTTATTTAAAATAAAAATAGTTTGGGTACCTAGGTCGACTCAGCCTTAAATGAGTACTTGGGATTCACAATCCTGAGGTAATAATAGGCGGTTGAAGCGTAGTGTTAGCCACATTATCTTCCTTGTATACCGAACGGCTCTACTGCTCTAGTATAGCAAGCTGTACCTTGCTACTCCCAAGGCGTTAAACGCTATATACGGAAGCTATTATTATTATATAAACGGGATTAACCATTTTAGAACAAGCAAAAATTTTTGCGAAGTATGCATTTTTCTCAAAATGTCAATAATAAAAAAGTTTTTCCTCTTGTAAAGATAAAACGGGAACATACTGTAGATCGATAGATCTAATGTTTGTCACCTATTTTGCATTACTGGTAATTATTGTATTATTATTGGTAATTTTATTATTAATACTAGTCAATATTTTATCATCTAACTCCATTTTTTACAAGTTTAAAGGACATTTTTTTGCCGATATAACAATTGGCATGATATGTCAAAATGTCACTTAAAAAAGGACATTTTCCTATATTCTTTTACCCACAGATTCTTCTTTTTAAATTTCAACGAAATTTTAAAAATTCAAGGTAATTTTAAAATTTCTAGAATACCATCATGGATTATGGCATACTCTATATCGGTTTTTGAAATATAACTCTTTTTAGATTATATGTACGATAGTATACGATAGTTTTCTTTTTGTAAACAAATGGGCTTGGAATATTATTATTTTTACCACCTGTACATTTTGTGCATATGTTCCTTTAAAAAAATCTAAAATGTCAACATTCCCGGGTATATGCATGTTCTACGAAAACTTGAAGAGATAGGTAAAAAATGGTATAATACAATTTGATATAAAATTAAATTGTGCATCTGATTCACGTTAAATATACAGGGTGTTCCGTTTAAGGTAAACAAGTTATTACCGTTTAATTCTAGTAATTATTTAATATAAATTTTTAGACACTCTGTATAAGGTACTTTAATTTTTATTATTGTAACACAATATCTGACCAATAAATAATCTTCAGTAAATATTTAGTATTAAAAACTTTGATACCCTTGGAGAAATGTGGCTTTAAATTTTTTACTGCAATTTCACAAATTTGAAAATATTTCAAAAACGGTAAGGTTTAAATGTGATAAATCTTAATCAAATTTACCGTTATTTCAATCGTAGAATCTAAAAATAGAATAATATACAGGGTGTTTCGTTCAAAAGAATACAACTATAATATTTTTTACTTATTTGGGACATTGTATCTGGTAAAATTATTCTTAAATTGTAGCTCTAATAGTCTTTCAACGAACTCAAAACTTACAATTTGTAAAAATCTAATTATTTAGTTACAGTACTTCTTGTCGTATGTGGTGAATAATTGAACAACCCTGTATATCGAGAAACTAAGGTTTGACACTTTATGTTTATTAATATATATATTCGTACTTTATATTCGTACTTTTGTGCTTAGACGTAATAGTTATTTACAGTCTATATTTACAGTACAAGTGTGTTTATGAACATGATTACAACGAGTGTGAACGATTAGAACGACGAGGTCTTAGACCGAATCGTTCTAATCACACGACTGTTGTAATCATGTTTAAACGCACGTGTCATGCGCAACGTTTTATCTACAACCGAAAAATAAGAAAATGCTGTTTTAACTATGACATTTGTCACATTTTTTTAATTATAATTGTGGGGAATTGTTACCTGCTTCAGACTATAGTTACATGATAGTTACAAACGTTGTTTATCAAGTAGAGTTTTTTTTTCTGAAAAGTCAGTTGTCAGTTTGCCGTCAAGTAAACGCGAGCACTTTTTGCCCAGAAAAATCATTTTAAAAATTACGATGATTCCGAAAGTCTCCCTTCAGATGTAGAAGTTGCCGCAGTACGTGCCACGTACTGCGGCAACTTCAAAAAACTTCAAACAAATTGCCGGGAAACTTCAAATCGGTGATGGTCCACTTTAGGTACGTCGTCAATCTTGAAGTTATTGATGTAAATTTGATATTAATATATTCTACAATTAATGTTTTAACGTTTTAAGTATGGATCGTACGGATACTCGGCTAAATGTTTGAGATTTCTGCAATAAAATTAATTTTTTTGAGGTTATATATAGCTTTCCTTATTAAGTTTAATAAGAGTGACAAGGAAGACGCAGGTTTAGGTTTATTTGTCTTTTGCTTGCGTCTGTGTATATCGCTGGCGGTAACAATGAAATATTGGAAATCGGAATTTTGTTTTATTTATACTTTCCTATTAATTTTGAAAAATAGCGGTAGCGATATTAAGCTGATAAGAATAGATATTATATTTTGATCTGTGTTAAAGGTTGAGAAGAGGATCACAATGGTAAAAACGTCCGCCGGAACTGAGTTTTGATTGCATTGGTTACAATATTCTTTTTGGGGCGGTTTGTTTTTGGTGTTATTTATGGACGATCCGCACTTTTTTTGTTAGAAAATGTCATTATAAGTGTTCCTCTTCTCAATTCTGTATAGAAAATTTTGACGCACCTAAAGTGGACCAGACCCCTTCAAATCATTATTGCCGGAAAAGTCACGATCAAAATATGAAAAAACATACAACCAGTTTTTGACATGGTGTGATGACAAAAAGGTGAAAAATCAATGCAATGAAAAAGTAATTTTAGCATATTTTGAAAATCTTGCACGGAAATACAGCACATCAAGTCTATGGACGTTTTATTCTATGTTGCGAGCCACAATATCCCTGAAGAAGAACGTCGATAAGTAAATATGCCTAAATCATTGCTTTCCTCAAAAGAAAATCTGAGTCCTACCAGCCTATTAAATCAAGGTCTTTCACAAGAAATGATATAGAAAAATTGCTGATAACAAACAATTTTTGCTTATGAAGGTAAAAATTACAATATTATTTAGATGTTCGTAGTTGTTATTCATTATTATATAAACTAGTTGTGTTATAGTAACTGAAATACTAAAAAGATAGTTATAACTAAACGGTTGTAGATAAAAGTACTTTACTTTTATGCCTAGGCATTAAATTACTTTTTTATCTTGTCAATAAAAATTAATACTTTTGTGACATTTGAAAAAAAAAGGAATTTTTGGTTTTGCCATAAATATAAATTTAATATGGGATTCTTTATTGGGATGTAGAGAAACTGGAATAACAGTAAACCCCCACAATACTCGTTACTTTAAAAGTTTCCGTTTTCTGTTGAAGAATTCGAAAACGCCGAAACACTTTTAATATCGGAAGTGCACATGCTGCTGGAACATCGAAAGGCGCAAAACGAATCCGCCGAAGACGAACAAGAATTCTCCGATGTGTTCATGAAAACGCTCACCTACACAGATCGGTTCAGGAAATTTAAAAATAAGGAAACTATTTCGGCTGTTAGAAAGTAAGTATAGATAGAGTGTTTTATTTTTTAGATTAGTATAGGGTACTTTTTATAAAAGATCTTTATAAAATAATGTATATTACACAATGTAACTGTGCACCTAGATTATGTAAGAATTAAATGAAGAATAGGGTGAATGAATGATAAAGAAGGGGAGCACGAAGCGAAGTACGAGAAAAGAGGTTACATCTTCGAGTTTTTTAAATAAATTTTAAGGTTACCTGCAGTTACACACATGGCCAAAATTATTGCAGATAACGATATTTTTATTTTATTTTGGACCTAATATGATTCTTTTTATATTTTTGGACATATTGACTTACTACATGAAAAACTAATATAAAATTAAAAATCTAAAAAAGTGCACTAGGCTGTTATTATAATTTTATTTCATAATGAGTGAAAATCAACAAAAACAAATTTCATTCTAAACAGAAAATATTGAATTATTTTAATTATTTCTCACAACTAATAGTCTGTATTGCCTCCTGCAAGCTGTGAGACGATGCGGCATGCTCTCAATTAAAGGCTGATTCATGGTACACCGGGCCGTACCCGAGCCGGGCACGTTCCGTAAAGTAGACACCGAGCCACGTCCGGGCCTTCAATATATGCTACACCGAGTGGACGACGGGGATCATGTCCGTGCCGATTATATTCTAGAAAACAGTGTTGCCGCAGTGGTACATTTGTACCAAATTTAATACTTTTAATTCTATTTGGTACAGTGGTACTACATTTTCAAATCCAGGATGATTTGGTACAATAATTATTTCCCACGCGCACCGAAAATGAATAGATATTTAATAATTATTGTCGTTGATATTGCATTAAACGCGCTTACCGATACCATTCGGAGACAATCCGCATTAATTAACGACGTATTATCAACGTTGTAATGTCTATAGCGTTGCCTATATTAAATAACCCGAAGAAAAAACTTGAAAATTTACTGTTTCTAACATGCTTCTATATTTGCGTTTTTTTTTAAATTTAATTTTTTTTTCCAAGTATTGTGTGTAGTATTAGAATTACTTAGATTTCTTCAACCTATACATACTTATAATTGGGTTTTCTGAATTTCTATTTCATGTTTTTCGTCTCGATCTGTGTCTTTCTCCAGGAAGTTTTTTTATGTAGAAATTTATGAAGAAATTCACAGCGACCAAACCGGTTAAAGTCATTTGCAGATGTATTTTGTTGTGCTTTAAAAAATTGTACCAAAGTGGTACATTTTTAGTTTATAATGTGGTACGCGCTAAAAGTTGGGTGCGGCAACACTGCTAGAAAACAGTCGCTATACGCCCGTAGACGAACGAAGTATTTAGCCGCGGCGGCTCATTTATGTTTGCCGCAACGGGGCCGGACCGTAGCGGATCCGAGGAAAAATGTACACCGACATTTCTCGGACGGGGCACGGACGCGTTCCGGCGAAGCTCGGCCCGTGCTCGGCTTAGCATGAATGCATAAGTATAAATAACATTTGACAATGTTTGGCCGTGCCTTCACCGTCGCACGGCCCCGGCCCGTCACGGTGTACCATGAATCAGCCTTAAGTCGTCCAGAAGATGTTGATGAATGGCTTCCCATGTTTCGCGCGCAGCAATTTTCAATTCATTTAAGGTACGGGTGGGATCATTCCTTTTGGCAATATGGCGTTTTAGCATGTCCCAAGCATGCTCGATCACATTCATATCTGGAGACATCGGTGGCTACCACAGTTTTCTTATACCCTCTTCCTCACAAAATTCGCGAACCGCTAAAGTGCGATGGGGTGGAGCATTATCGTCCATATAAACAAATTCATCCCCCACTGCCTCTCGAAATGGACGCACAATAGGCTCTAAAACGTCTCTAAGATATGAGGCACCTCTCATTGTGCCATCAATAAAAACAAGAGGAGTTCGACCTCCGTGTATTACACCTGCCCATACCATAATTCTTCCACCTTGAAACGGGACACGGGGTTGAGTTGCATTCAAGCGTGCTCGTCTTCCAGATGCTCTCCAGACCAAAGTTCGTCGCAAGTCTGACACTAGGCCTGTTCTTGTTTCATCACTAAACATGACGAACTTCCAATTAGGTCCATTTGCTCTCATCTCCTCAGCCCATTGTAGTCGCGTAATTTTGTGCTGTAAATTAAGCTTCGGAACACGTAGAGGTCTCCTTAAATGTAATCCTCTGTCATGGAGTCTTCCTGCTATGGTTTCTCTTGAAGCATTTACTCCTTCAAGGCGAGCTAACTCATTTTTAATAGCAGTACTAGAAAGCAGGGGATTGCGTCGTGCAATTAGGGATATTTGTCTTGCACAGCAGTAGTAACTCTCTTTCTACCTCTTCCAGGCCGGTCTGTAACCTCGTTTGTCTCCCTGAATTTTTTTAGTATTCGCGAAACATTGCTTTGGTTAACTCCTACAATTTCAGCTATTGCAACTTGCCGGTAGCCCTGTTGAGACAGTGTTACTATTCTGACTCTATTAAACTGTGAAATAATATTTCTAGGCATTTTAAGGCCAAAACAATGGTCAAATTTCTTCTGAAACCCAAGAGACCACAAATAAATAGAAATGTGCAAGAATTTGTAATAATATTGGGTCTGAACGGTAAACATTGTTTACCATATTCATTTAAACAAAAAAATGTTTATTACAGATTATCAAAGCTTTGTATAAAAAAAATTCTTTAAATTCCTTTCCGTATATTTTTAAACGATATATTATTATATATGTAATAATTTTGGCTATGTGTGTATATGCTTAAAACTTTATAATTGAATTTCTAAAAATGTAATTATTGAATTTGAAAATGTAATTATTCTATTAACAATGTAAGCCCGATACACTTGGATGTAATGTTAGGTTTTCTCATAAAACTTTATTGTATGTATTTCTTAGACGTGACTAAATAGAAATCATGCCAATAATAAAATATAAAATGTATTAAAAGTTGAAGCGTTTACGAACTTCAGAAGCCATTTACTTCCAAGATGGAATTTTCTTATTGTAACTGTAAATACAATATAAATTGTTTTGTAGTTATTGTTCAGGTGTTTATGAACTTTAGCACTAAATGGGTCTTACGATATAAATGCCGTGCTGTTACCAATAACACGATATTTAATAGTTTCTACAAAACTATAGCTAAAGTAAAATCAGAAACTGTAGGACGGTCTAGATTAGAAATGACAGTTATAAGAATGAAGCTAATTTTTGATGTTTTTGAAATTAAGATAAAAGGTTAATTATGTCAACTGTAGTCTGTTCTAATCTGGCGGCATAGCAGTGCCTCCGCCAAGTCGAGCACAGCCATAACATTCTTTTTTAAAACTTCGTTAGCCCACGGCCACACAGAAAGCGTTTTTTACGTTTTTAGTTAGCGTGAACGTCTTTAGCGACTAAAACAAAATAACAGGATTATATAGGGGTGGCCCCACCAAAAGCGTGTAGCGTTCGGCGTGTCTCGCAAAAAAACGCAAATGAGAACAAATCAGTTTGTTTTCTGTAGCGTATTTAGCGATTTCTAAGATGAGATCCCGTCATAGGCAGGGTTGGCATGATATATATCAATGATATATATCGGATATATATCATTGATATATATCATGATATTTATACCTTGATATATGTCATGATATTTATAAAAAAATAAAACTCAACTCCTTTCATAAATTTCTACGTTAAAAAAGTCAACAACATGTTTACGGCACAACGTATTTTTATTACTTTATGTGATTCCCCGAATTCGTTTCGGACTTGGCTTTTGTGAATCGGCGTGAACGTGCCTCAGCTGCACGAAATAATCAATATTGATTGACGGTGAATTACCATTAATAAAATTAATAAATCAAATATAAATTTGTTTGTTGTTAGTTTTAGAATATCTGTTTATTTTTTTGAATTTCCGTTTATTTTTTGAATATCCGTTTATTTCTTAGAATTCATGATTATTTTTTAGAATTTCCGTTTATTTTTTAGAATTTCTGTTTATTTTTAGAATTTCTGTTTATTTTTTAGAATTCCTGTTTATTTTTTAGAAGTTCTGTTTATTTTTTTAGAATTTCTGTATATTTTTTATATATTTTTGTTTTAGTGTTGTTCCTATTATGTGCAAAGCACCAATAATTAAGTTGAAATAAAAATATTTGCTTGAGTTCTTGATTTTACTTGATACTAAACGCAGTTTTACATAAAAAATAAAAACAAAAATAAATATCAAAACTTGATATATATCGGATATATATCAGATATATATTGGATATATATCCGATATTTGATATTTATATAAATATCATGATATTTGCCAACCCTGGTCATAGGCGGACGTTATATTTAATAATACAATAAAAATAAATTAAATAGTATGCATTTTTTTTCATTTTAGTGTATTATCTAAAAATATTTTTATAGAGAACATCTACTGTTTAGGAAGATTCTATTAAATTCAAAAATTTGAAGGAAATGTTTGAAAAAGTGTAGTTTGAAATGTTGAAAAAGTAATAAATTAAAGGAATATTTTCTTACCCGTAAAAAAGTTTTTATGCGTAAAAAGTGTCTTACCCGTAAAAAAAGTTTTTTATGCGCAAAAGTGTTTTTTTCTGCGTAAAAAAGTTCTTTTTACCAGAAACAGATATAGTTTTTGACGCCTAAAAATTAGTTTTTTACATGTAACAAATAGTTTTTTACACGTAAAAAATATTTTTTTGGGGTAAAAAAGTTTTTTTACCAGGAACAATAAGTTTTTGACGCGTAAAAAAATAGTTTTTACGTGTAACAAATAGATTTTTACACGTAATAAATAGTTTTATACGCGGAAAAAATAGTTTTCTACCAGTAACAAATAGTTTTATACGCGGAAAAAATAGTTTTCTACCAGTAACAAATAGTTTTATACGCGTAACAGTTTTATTCGCGTAAAATAATAAAAATAGTTTTTTACGTGTAACAAATGGTTTTTTACACGTAATAATTTGATTCACTTTTACAAAATTTATATTAAAATATCAATATTTTTGATAAACACATGGACTGCTCACAGATACACGTCGCGTTACTACGTATTTCTAAGCCGTTAACACGTTTCCTTACAACAACCTCGTGGGTCAGGGTCGTCTCGCTAGCTCGTATGTCACGGCCTTGAATCTTTACTCTCAGCGCGCGTAAAAAAATTTCACTCCAAAAAGTTTCATAAATCATGTCCTAAAATTGCGTTAGCAACTAGTAATATTATTTACTATTCTATTATATAATTATAATTATTTATTATATTATATTATAATTCTAACAAGTAACCACAACACTACAACATAAAAAACTATACACATATAAACTAAAATTCGTAAAATAAATGGCAAATAATAATTATTATTTTTACACACACCACTGGCACTAGCAGTAGATTGTGTTTCTCGCCGAATATTAGCCCCGGTCCGTCCACAATTCAATCCCAGCATCTTTTATCTTCGTCTCTTCAACGCTAACCGCGCCGATCTCGCCTATCTCTTTCTCACAGAATTGATTGTTGAACGGACCGGGAATCCACGAGCTTGCGACTTTACTAATTGACATCTTGATAGAAACTGCAGACCTACCGCGTCTTTTGCGTGTTTTTAATGGACATAAATCGAAAAAAAAACGCTTAAAACGGTCAAATCGCAAAAAGCGCCCGAGGCGCAAAAAACGCAAAACGTTAAAAACGCTTTCTTTGCAGCCGTGGGCTTATTTAGGCAAGAATATTAATTTTACTAATCAAGTAGACATACTATAGCTGGCTATATTGCCAATATATTTAGTGATTTTATCTAGTCTTTTAAAATCCCAAGTCTCGCAAACCAATTCTTCTACTACAAAAAGTTGTGAGATCTTAGGGTTAGTTGAAGAGCAATCTTGATTGAACAATCTGTTAACATTAACCATGTTAACTTCGCTCTTTTTCTCAACATTTTTCTTTGATTGTTCCTATAATATCTAATGTTTTAATATTTAGTGGAACAATAAAGAGAGACCGTTTATTATCATTATTCAGCTTATTTCATTTAGTTTCTATTGAAGCACCTTTTCAACAATGTTATAAATTGTTACTATCAATAGTAAGACATCTCTTTATTTCTGTAATAATTATAATAACTTGGTAATTGCACGGCACGGTAGACTTATATCCAGACGCCGTTTCCTAAGCCACCTTCTGGATGAACTTCCCTCCCACTACCCACTTAGAGAGGACCCACCAAATGGTGTTTCTAGCGACTGGAAAACCTGGAGAATGCTCAACCGAATCAGAAGTGGGGTGGCCCCATTAAAATCCAGTTTAATCAAATGGGGTTTGCTGGACAGAAATGACGACAAATGCGACTGCGGCGCCTTTCAGGACATAGAACATCTTCTTCAATGTCCTGCCTGCCCCCACAGATGTATCGTCGATGACCTATGGCTGGCTAAACGAGAAGCATTGGACGTAGCCCATTACTGGGCTAACAAACTATAATCCGGATACGAAAAACAAAGAAAAAAAGAATAATCTACAATCTACCATTTTGATTACTAAGTAAATCTAATAAAAAAAAGTATTTTAATTAGCAGAATATCATACTGTGCAATTGTCAAGTCATTATAATTATTACAGAAATAAAGATGTCTAATATTGATACTAACTATTTATAACAAAATTATTGAATAGGTGCTTCAATAGAAACTAAATGATGATAGACAAGATATAATTCTTAAGACGAAATGAAGTTTTGACAGAGAGATAGACCAACATTGATAGTCTTTGTTTTTATTTCAGTTTATTAAACCAGAAGAAACTGCACAAGTTCGAGCTAGCAGCGATCGCAAACCTATGCCCCGAAACAGCCGAAGAAGCTAAATCTTTAATTCCATCGCTTGAAGGAAGGTTTGAGGATGAAGAATTGCAAACTGTCCTGGAAGATATCCAGACGAAACGAAGTATCCAATATTAGCATTTCATAATATTAATAATCATGTAATAAATATTAAGTTCCAAAAAGAAAATTTTATCTCATTTGTGTCTCTTTAATTATTATAGAGAATAACCTCGAGCAATTAGATATTGTCCCTCGGGACAGAAACTTTGCCCTTAGTAATTAACACCCTTATAATTTCCTTGATACATAAATAACTATAATTAATGTTATACTATTGTCAAAGATATGTTTCTATTTGACTGTTTCTATGGTGACAGTTCAGTTGTCAAGCGATAGCAGCCTTGGATCTGTATGGGTGACGTATGTAGAATTCAGTCAGCTGTTTCATAAGTATGAAATATTTATATAGGTTTCTCATATTCCGACCACTCACATCTCGCGGTCATCAAAGTAAATATTTTCATATAAATTTTCCTATTTGAAAATTACATAGGTTTATATTGATTTTGAAGAGCCAAAATAAACTACTCCAGTCCTTTCCTAAAATTTTCCGTGCATTATGGCATGCAGTCAGCGATTATTGGGGAGTGCTATAACTTTTTAGTCACATTGCACATATGCTCGATATCTAAAATAGTGCTATATCGTTAACTTTTTAGTTTTAGTCACATTGCACATATGCTCGATATCTAAAATCGCGTAACGTGGCACTTATGTCCGATATTTAAATTAAAATAAAATTATTATAGCTTCATTCACAACATCGAAATTAGTTGAATAAATTAGTGGTTTTAATTATACTTTATACGTAAGAGTTTGCGATTAATCAAATGTCTAAAAAACAATTAAAATTAATAGAATATCCTACAGCTTGTCAGTCAGTTGTATCCATAGAGAAAGTATAATATTTAGCTTATAAAACAATCAGCTTTTGATATCTAACCACAATTTCTTTTGACGGCATCAAAGGCCAAAATGACATTTCTCGCAAATTTTTAAATTTAATTAGAGGAAAAGTCAAAAGTTTGATCACTTTTTCTGCTAATCAGTGGCGGCTCGTCAGGGTAGGCAAGGTAGGCGGCGCCTACCCAAAGATTTTGGCAGAATTTAAGCGATTTATTACGTTACATTATTTACTATTAATGTTGCCAATACATAAAAATACTATTAATACACGGAAATGTGTTTTAATACTCAATATTATTTTAATATTTGTGGTCTTGTATATTAACATATGCACTACCGCTAGCGTACGCTGACTGTGCCGTTGCGTTAGAAAACAAAATAATTTTGACCGTTAGAGTGCCTTTGTTTACTTGTGTCTAGCCCTAGCAGGCAACTATTAAGCCCGACCAATTACGTTAGAGTTTTTGACAAACACAAATGAATTAACACACTCCACATAACCACGCTAACCAACCTGATTGGTCAAGCTTAATAGTTGACTGCTAGGGCTAGACACTTCTCCTTTGTTTGGCGATTTCTACATCGCCTACTATCAGAGTCGATGCACGACGTACGGTAGTCTTCTGTCTCTGTCTAACTCATCGTGCGGTAACGACGCGACGCAAGTCGGAGTTGTATCGTATTAAGGCGGGGCTTAGGCGAAACCTCCGGTCGCCTTCGTATGAAGTCGTGGAGGCTCGATAGGCTGAGAAGTTAAGGGGATACTCCCGACATATCATAAGGAGATAATAATATCTCGAGAACCATTACTCGTAGCGATTTTTATGAAGAGATCTTTCTTACGTATAAAGCTTGATTTTCATGCATCCGTTATCCGACGATACGATGATACGATATTAATTTTATTGGTTGAATCTAAAGACTTCGGTTGGTGAGAAACGGTTAATCAATCGAAGCCTTTAAATACAATCAATGAAATTAATATCGTATCAATGTATCGTCGGACAACGGATGCATGAAAATCAAGCTTAAACCGTCGTACATGAATATTTTTTACTCGGTAGTTTTATACAGGTACAGACAAAAAGTTATTACTCTTCAAACCAGTTAAAAAACATGTAGGTGGCGCCCTCTATTAGTAGGAGTCATATTGACATCAAAATCAAATTACTCATGTCAAAAAACTCCTAGACACGAATTTTCATCCAAATATTGACGTTACTACAGAAATTATTTGGAAAAAATCGAAACAAAAATTAAACACCCCGTATCTCCGAAACTAAGCATTTTAGGATATACATTTATACAAACTTTCTTACTTGTTTTTATCTGTAGAATATGCTGCCGAAGTTTCCAGAATACAGTTCGGACCACCCTGTATAATATTATATATCCAAAATTTTAATAGTTGTAACATTTCATTTTGTTTAAATAAATGTTAGATTTCAGTGTGGTAAAAAATTGTCAGTGATGCCATTGTTTCTATAGTTGGACTACTGAAATTTGGTAGGAGAGTTTTATAGAGATGAAGAAAAATATATATGTGACATTTTGGACAGTTCAAAATTTGCATGGGATTGCCTATGTTTCCAAAGACGATGCACCACCTGGTAGTCGATCTTTTATACATGTTTATGACACCAATCCATGTTTTCAACAGCATAAAATACATACTACATAGGATGCATCTTTAAAGGAAATTCCAAATCAAACGCCGCAAAATATTATTCCAATCTATTATTAGTATATCGAAAGCTAAATTCGAATGCTCTCTATATATTCCGTCGATCTTCGTTTAGGAAAAGCAAACAACATTTGTCAAAGCACAGACCGACCTCAAGAGACGTATTTTTGGGTATAAAAATCTGGATTTCTAATTATAATTTCCCGAAAATATCCGTGTAGGAATGGCCCCCTCTTTTATCTTTTACACACAGAAAAAAAGGTAATTGAAATTAAAATATATTTTTTTGGGCATAAATATACAGTACGTCCCCGGATTATTTTTACAAGAGGAAAAACTTTTTTTTTTGAGAAAAATGTATTCTTTTTAAAAATGTTTGCTTGTTCTAAAATGGTTAATCGTCTATACTTTTCCAAATTTCCATACCATTTTACAGAAAATTAAAAAAAAAACATCTAAATATGATTTAGTCCTAAAAATCAAAAGGTGTCTTTATGGTAATATAATTTCGATTTCATTCTTTGATAGATGGTTATTATTAATTTTGATTAACATATTCTTACTTCGTCATATTTTTGCTGCTGTAAAGTATCATATTTTTCGATAACGATATCAGTCTTTCTGTACCATTGAACTAAATAAATTTTGTACTTTTTAACATTTAAACGAGATTTGGTATGTTAGTAGATGACGTAAATTAGGATTGATTGACGCGATCAAATGTTTTCGATCACTTCCGGTTTCACCGGAAATTACTACAACTTTTTATTTTTAAACGGCACTCTCGATATTTCTTTACCTTATTCGATAGAAAATAACATTCTGAATAGAATGACATATCATATGTCAACTTTTGACATTTTCGCATACGGCTTATTTGAAATTATAACTTGCGATTCATAACGAAAATTTGACTCGAAATACCAAGTGTGTGGTATCAAATTATTCGTCAATAAATGCTTTTTCCAAATATGCTAATGAACCACCCTCGTTCCAAAAATACGATTTGGGCATCTCTTAACCGGCCAGGATGAGACACCAAAAACATTAAAGGATCAAATCTATTTTTTCAAGGCTCCTTGATTAAGAATTAATGTTTTTAGCATAGTCATGGCACTCTAGATTCAAATTTAAAATACGATTTTTTAATAAGCGACAAAGTCAAAAATTCACATAATATGATATGTCATTCTGTTCAGAATGTCATTTTCTGTCGAATAAAGTAAAAAAATATCGAGGGTGCCATTTAAAAATCAAAAGTTGTAGTAATTTCCGGTGAAATAGGAAGTGACCGAAAACAATTGAACACGTCAATCAATCCTAATTTATGTAATATACTAACATCTCGTTTTTTAACTGAAAAAATAAAAAAGTTATAGGGGTGAGCCACTTTTGAGACACACCCGGTATAGACAATTCAACCATATTTTTAGTTTTTTTTATAATTTTCTCTAAAACAGTATGGAAATTCGGAAAAGTATAAACGTGATTAGTCATTGTCTAACAAGCATACATTGTTATGTATAATGCTTTTTGTCAAAATATCAATAATAAGTATTTCAATTAAAAGTTTTTCCTCTGGTAAAGAAATTCCGGGGACATACTGTACAATTAGCATGAGCTAAAGTGTATCCAACCATTCCAAGTGTTTCCAAGATTTCTACCTATGACATATATATCAAAAAATGACAGAAAGGACAATTTACTTATCAATTAAAATGACAGAAAACATAATTTACTTATAAAATAAAATGAGCAAACTGTCACTGTCATTGATCGTAGATAGACTTAGTGAGAGTGCCCACCAAAGTGACGGAGCATCTGACGTGGCACGTGATCTGGCAAGTAACATGCATTAATGCCTAAACAATTAAATACCTATTGCAAAAATTCATGTTCTTCTTGTACAGAAAAAAATTAATAATGGAAAAATATTATTTTTGTAGGACATCAGCGAAAAAATTGGCAAGCATTTCAAGTGCTCCACATACTAAGAAAAATCCGCTGATGAAACATTTATTGCTTCAGTCATAAAGACTTTTCAAGAATAAAAAACGATAAAATTTAAAATTAAAATATAGCCGACGATTTTTTTATGGCGACTGCACAAAAATATGTACTGTGTCCCAATAAAAATATTCACATTATAATGATCCTTTTTATCTTTGACCTTAAAACGCAAAACGCTTTACAGATGTTGCAAAAGAAAATAATTTTCTTAAAACAGCACTGAGGGCAGCTAGCACTGAGCACGAAGCTGGCCAAAACCGTGGCTAAATGAAATCTAAAGGCTCCCACAACATCGTACATTTTCGGCAGGATTACTCTACGTACAAAACTGTTCGGGTAATCACGAACTTGATTTGTCGTGATTAGGGATACAAACAACAGTGGCGTTTATTTATTTATTTATTTATTTATTGAGTGTTAGGGGGTGCAAACAGTACGTAGTACCAAAATAGCATCCACAATATACTTAAATCAG